AAGGTTTAGCTCACATGGAGTCCTCGACCTCACGGTCGCGATGCATCCATTTTTAAGCCGATCAGTTATGCGAGAGCTACGATATGGTCATTTGATCAAATGGACCTTCTTCTTAAAAGATCTGCAACTTATGTTTTTTCAGCGGTGATCTTCTCTCTTCGATTTTTCCCGGCTCGAACCATGCCATCAGGCATGCTATATATTAAAACGATCAGGACGATGAGACGAACATCCTCTCAAAATTTGGGCTTGTTTCAAATCGGGATGAAAGAGATATGAACATTGGAAGTTAGCCCTAAAATTGGAAAGCACAACTTCCATAAATGGAAACTAGTTCGCCAAGAATGCATCAAAATTGTGTGCGACCGACCTATTTTTAGTAAATTGACCGCAGAATGATCCAGAAATGTCTGAATAAGCTGAAACTTGGTACCCGAGGGTTTTTAAATGTTTTAAATCTAACGAAAGTGGTTTGGTAATCGTTTGAAGCTCCAAAAATAGGGTTGTAGTTATAGGGTCTTCTTTCAGCGCGCTAAAGGCAGAATTCTGAAAACTAATTTGGCGTTTTATCCACCATAACTTCGTCGGATCGCCACGAAATTTGGCTTCTTAGGAGTCCTTGAGCCACGCTTTTGAGCCCTACGGGTCCATTCTGAGACTGTTTGAGATTACGCTCTAGATCAAGGCTTATTCCACTACTGCTTCCATAGTCCACACGCATTTTGGTACCTGCAGACCTAGATCGCAACCTGCTTCCTCCTTATTCGCACCGAGGAATACAAGCATCAAAAAATACCCTTCAATAGTGTGTACAGATAGTTACATTTTGGGAAGTCATTTTGATAAGGTAAGATCCACACGTGTGCTGAGAGAGGACCCCTGCATCCGTAAGAGTACATGTCCTTGAGAGGCACCTGTAATCCACTAAACACTTGGAATCCATCCAACTATTTGTTAGCTTTGATAGGTCCACTCATATTCGGACTGAAGCCTATGACCCAGACGAACTTATTGGGTTTGGTCAAAAAAATTGGGTTGGGTTTCGAAGTATAGGCTAGTGGAGTACCAAACAGTCTGACCTCTTGTTGAACTGTGGTTTTCCATCTCAGATTTATTAGAAGTTCCTTACTATATTGTTATGATAAGAAATGATGAAAGATAATTTATCACAATTTTATATGATTTTTGAAAATTTTATTTCATAAGGAAAATGCTTTGACAAATTTGTTGTGCATAAATTTCAATTAAAGATGCCCGCACATATGACGTGTGACACACATATGACGTGTGACATACAAATGGCCAATTTGTGCTACACATGCGTCCCATGGGGCAGTCACATCATTGCCCAAATAGTGTGGAGGCCCCTGTTGGGATATAACACATATCTTTGTTATGTATAATGTGATTTATGGTATATGTGTGGTAATATGTATGAGTTTATATATGGGCATGTAGAGATATCACATTTTCATAAATTAAATGAACTCCTAATTTTGTGATTTTTTAAATCCTTAGATATTTAAAATGAAGACCTTTAATTGATATGAAGGGGATAAGGGGACACACTGTGTATAAGATGATGTCATGTCCCTCCCTTTGACAATGACTTCACATCAAGCTTAAGTGTAAAGGAACCTTCACTTTTAATGAAGCTTATGGGTGGCCCACCACCCTTATTAGTATTTGAACTGAAGATATTTAATCAAAGGTTGAGATTTGATGATTATTAAAATGAAGTTATTTTTAAAAATTAGGGGCGCACTTAAGAATTTATTAAAAATGTGTGGAGGTGTTATGGGGGTATAGTGATCAGGGTATACTCAATCATCACCATACATGTGATACCCATCAATAGTGATTGACTAAGCTAGATACTACTTCAATTTTTTTATATTTCATACCCTGTGTTAATTTCCTTGATACTACTTCAATTTTTTGCAAAGCCGGAAGTTTGCTTTCACCCTTTCTGTCGTTTACTCTTGTATTACTAGGTATGATAAAGATTAAGTTGATTTTTTGGCCCTTTTACTGCATTTCATGTAGATGGAATGGAAAAAATTTCAGCACTAGGCTTTTGATGTTGTAGATGATGTTTTTGGGGGGTTTCCATTGAATCGCATAGGTGAGAAAAAATTGATTTGTTTTTGTGATTTTACCTCTGTTGGCTAGTGTTGTTTGGGGGCATTCTTGTTGGACATTCATCTCCTGTAAATCTTGGCCATTTTTTCTAGAAATGAGAGCATTTTCTTTTTTATCTCTATTTCCCTTTTTCTTCGTAGAACTATTATGTCTTTTCCTCCTTTTAGCCACTTAAAGAGAAAAGTACAAAGCTAGAGAGATAAACACTTCATATCCGTGTCCTAGATTTCAAGAAATAATGTGTTTTATGCCTGCTTCCCCTATTATGCTCGTATCTGTGTCCATATCTGTGATTTTTTGTCCCATTTTCTGCATTTTTTGTAGATTGAATGAAAAATACCTCAGTGTTAAGGTTTCAATGTTGTTGGTGGTGTTTTTTGGTGTTTGCATTAATCGAAATGGTGAGTAAAAATTGATTAATTTTTGTGCTTTGATCTCTGTTGGATGGTATTTGTTTGTCATTTATGTTGGACATCCATCTCTTCTAAATCTTGGATATTTTTCAAGGTATTTTTTTTATTGATTATTGGTAGTCTCTCTCTCCATCTCTCTTATCAGGCATACTCTTATTAATTTCAGCTTCCTTTTTTTTTTTTCTGTACTATTGGATCCGTATTTATTTCTTAAAATTTGAGTTTTTAGGGCCACATTTATTTCTTAAAATTTGAGTTTTTAACAATTAACATGATTGATTGTGTGCTGACCATTATTTGAAAAACCGGGCGATCTAACTGGTAACCACCCGGTTAGACCGGAATCGGCCCCTTGCCGGTTCCAGTTTCGAGCGGTTTTAGTGATCTACCAATTTTAAAAATAAAAATTCCAAAAAATATTTATAAAATCCCAAAAATAAAAAATTTGATTTGTAATACATTTTTTGATATTTTTACATTATCGTAAATGCTAAAAATTATTTGGTTCATTAATACTCACTTTTAAAATCCATTTTTTCATTAATTTTCTACTTCATTTGAATGTGTTTTGTTTTAATCATTCTTTATATGCTTTTCACATTTTAGTGATTTTTTTTACATATTTTTTATTTTTTTCAACAATTTTTTGGCTACCCAGGACTTGTCCATTTAGAACGGTTGAATCGGTCAGTTTACTGGTTAGGCTAGTTAAACCCTTTTGGCCCCATGTCCGGTTAACCGTTCCAGATCGATTTTGCGATCACTGATGCTGACAAATGGGTACATAATCTAATTTCACAGTATTGTGAAATTAAAGTCACTGTGGAGTTGAACTCATGGTTTTCTCTTTACCAATTTTGGGTGTTTGTTCTAGATTTCCTCTTGTCTTAGGGCAATTCTTAACCTGTTAAGGGTCTTTGCGGAGTTCTAGGCTTGGAGTCGGGCTCTCATGATGGAACGCAAAGGGTGGTCTAGATGTTAAGGCAATATTTTTTGGACTTTGGGTGATTCTAGGGTTTGTAGTGGTTGCTCCAAAGGTCCTTCAGTTTCCTACAGTTCTCTCAGTTGGGAACGAGGTGCCTATAAGTCCTTACATGAAAGCTGCGAATGTATGAAAATATGTGTGTATGTTGATGTGAATGCAAGGTCTCAAAAGTCCAAATAGGAGAATGTTGGGGTTATGATCTTTTAAGATTTTGACACCTTTATTTTTTTTTATGGTTCTTGGTCACAATAGGAGCGAATAAGAGCGCGAGACTTACCATATCTATACGAGTTGAGATCTGAAACTGGTGTCTGTGGAGTCACAAAAACCTGGATCATAAAGAACGAGTTACAGGGCGAACAAACATAAAGAAATGAGGCTTATACCTAGTTAGGTTCGGCATGAGAACATTTCATGATCGTACAAGCCATGTACGCATTTTCCTTTATGATATTGCGTTTCTGTATGCTTAGACAATCCAAATTGGATTTTCAATTTTTTAGCACGAGTTTTGTATCCGTTCCTAACGTTTGTGTTAGGCAAGTCTCTAGGTCTAGTAGGCTTGCATCTCAAGTTCTAAAAGTACTAGGGTCCATGCAAAAGAGAAATTGTGCATCTTGCTCCCGGGGCATAATATATTTTTTGGGGTAATGATTTCATGCAATGGTTGTGTCATAATAGAATGTAATCACAAAAAAATTATGTTAAGGACATTTGTTTGATACAATTTTTTAGATTTGTATTATTTTTCATTCAAAATAACAATCACAAAAAAAGAAAAGTTTGAAAAAAAGCCCTTGAAAGTGTTTTCTAGCCCAATTAATATAAGTTGTCAATTTTAGTGAGATGGTTAGATATAGACCTCAGAAGGATTTTTCTATTCCCAAAATTTTTATATAGTGTTGTTATCATTAGATTAATGATGCTACAAAAGAAAAAAATGATTTTCCATTTGTCAAGGCCTAGATGTTGAAATTCACCAAATGGACAGTCGAGATTCATTGTTGGAGGGTACTAATTTAGACCATATCCAGGGTGCAAATTGAATTTTTTTTGCTTAAAAATGATTACGAGGATTAAGAGAATATCTGCAAAATTTGGGGTCCTACAAATGTCAAAAATATGGTTTTCTAGAAGTTTGGTTGCATTATAATATGGTATAACATTTGCATGAAATCACGGCCTTGTTTTTAGTTAACCAATTTTCGCCCCAACAAGGTCTGGCTGGGCTGGCCCAATCCTGGCCCACCCCTGATGGGGCCGAAGAGGCCCTCGGGCTGAACTTGCCAGACCAAATAAAATAAAACAGACAAAAAACCAATAAAAGAAAATCTTCGGACTGAATCGAACCGGCTGCAGATGTGGCGGCCCAAGCCCAGTCGGTCCCTTGGGCCATGGTGACTGGGCCCTCGTTTGTTGGGCTTACTTGTTTTTGGGCGAGCGACCCGGCTGCGCCAAATGCCCATTGCCAGCGCTATCGACCAATTTTTTTGAGGATTATCACGTCATTTCTAGAAACCCGAAGGAGAGGAATTCTCCCTGCATCGTGGAGAAGACAGAATGGGAAACGCGGTGCTCCTTCCCGTCTATTTAAAAGGGCCCTCCTCGCCGGACGGGTTGAAGAATAGTGGTGATGGCGTATGTCGAGAAAGGTGCTGTGGTTTGTCTCTGCTTCAATTCTATTAATTTATGGTTTTCTTGTTTCTTTTTTCAAATACTCCTCTTCTTTACTGCAAAATTTAATGGTTTTCCTTTTATCTTCTTTATCAATCAATATAAAATCAGTTTGAGATGTGTAGTTCATGATCTCAATTCGTTTGATATTCCCTTCCATTTACCTAATTCCTTTTGGACTTAAGGATTTGGAAAAGCCCTTTTGGAAATTTTAGGTTCCAGTTGATTGCGAAGCCACGATACCTTCACGAGATGAATTTGAGGTTTTGTGGGTTTCGTGGGCAACAAAGATTTTGACTTTCTTTGATTTTGGGTCAATAATTCGTCCTCATAATCTGTTGTTGTTTATGATCTTCATTTTGTTTGTTGTCTCATTGGAAAGTGGATCTCTCTCTCAACATGTGCTTACTTCTTTTGTTTTGGTATCCTGATATTTTAGTAGTGATCAAGGCTCTAATGACATGTTTGTTCTATCAAATTGTTGCAGTGACTTGCGATAAGTCTGATATGCATGTTTATAAAACTGGATCTCTCTCACTAGTTGGAACCAAACTTATCTCAAAAAGGGGGGAAAATTGATAGAACCATGAACTGTCACTCTACTAATTTTCAATGAATAAAAGGATCGTGGTTGCAATTGTAGTCTAGTAGAGTGTTTAAGGAATCGGTGGAGTCCACTTGGACTCAGCCGCGGCCTATCGAGGCTGAGTTCTGGCGAATTCTAGGGGCAACTCGCTATTGAAAATTAAATAAAAGTACTATTTTATTGAAAAACTGTAATTGATTATTTAAAAATGCATTATTGAATGATTTATCTGATTTTTATATTTGGGAACTTTTTTATTACATCCACCAATTTTTTAATTTTCTATTTTTTGAATATTTCATGGTATAAATTAAATTTTCTATAATCCGTCTTTTGTATGTATTTTTGGACTTTTAGAGACATTTAAAGATTTGTATTGGTTATTTCACTTCTCTTTTTTTTTTTCTTTTTTTTTTTTTTCTTTTTTTTTTTCTGTTTTTAACAAATTTTTATCACATTTTTTTACTTTTTATGGTGTTTTTTATCCTGTTTGGGATTCAGCCAACTCCACTCAGACTCTACAAAGTTACTCGTCTTGGGCTAGGGCCGCCTCCATGGTCCGAACTGAGTTTGAAAACATTGGTGTATTGTCCTTAATTCTTTCAGGTGTGTGCATCCTATGGTGATGCGTCATATTGTCAATTGTTTTTTTTCGAGGACAATTGTTCATATCAGTGTATCGGGACTCGGCCGATCCATTACTCTGCCTCACCCTATGGTTGGGGTGAGTTTAGCCTGATAGACCATACATGTGGAGTTTATATTTATTGATATGTCAATTTGAAGTCAAAGATGTTTAAATGGCTGTGTGGTTAGTATGCACATCTTCCATCACAAAAGGAGTTCAAGCCCCCCAACAAATGCCCTCGTTTTTTCTACCCACGAGATAGTCTTTCTTTTTAAAGGAGGTAGAAACAAGAGTTCTGAAAAAAAGGCGAGGGTCAAACCCAGGACTTCCCATAAAGAACCATCCCAATGTTGGGCTACCTATCTAGCTTGCTCTTTTGATGTTTATTGTGAAAAAGGAGGAGGCTGTATTTTATATATTTTACTTTTTTTCTCTATTTTAATTTTATTTTTTAACTCGAGCTGGACTTGGGCGTGTTACTCAGACTCGCCCGAGCAACTTACCTTGGCCAAGGCCATTGTACCTTGGTTGAGTCGATTTGCTGTACACTGGTTTATATCATGAGTTGGGTCGTGATGGAATGATGTAGGATTCCCATGAATGGAAATTATAGGGAGAGAGCAAGTGGTTGAAATGAAATTATAAGGTGCTTTGATTTTTGGGGAACAATTATTGATAGGAAGTAGCGGTGTGGTACTCATCAAATCACGGTGGCTCTTTGGTGAATGCAAGAGTGAGAAAAATGCCCTTAGTAATGAGTTTTTTCAAAGAAAATGACTGTTAATATTAAGTATAAAAGCAAATAAAGAGTGGGGATCGGGGTAAAATTTTGAAAGCCTTTTTTTCCCCATCCCCAATAAGGAGGCTTGTGTGGTGATTTACATGCCTAATAAAAATGGCCTAATGTTCCTTGGTCATTGCCAACATAGCTCGATTCAGCATGAGTGTCAGATTTTCACTAATTTGCTATTCTTTCTTTTTTGAGAAGGAAATCCTTGCTCATAAGAAAAGTTCAACTACTTGGAGACTTTACATCATTTGAAGAACTTAGTCAATTTGCATTTCCACTTTCCGGTGAAAAGGAGAGATGTAAAAAGTGTCTTGTGAAGGGACCAGATTTTGAGGCCAACTCCCTTGCAACAGAATGCAATGGAACTCTTGAGTGTACCCTAATGTTCAAATCTCTCTTTTCTACAAAGGATTCTTTATTATTTCATTTCACCATGATTTTGTCACCATATATGATGATTAGGGGTGATTCCTTTCGACTTTTATAGACATTGACCGTGACATTGGGAATCTTAAACCTTGCTTCAAAATCCTAGTTTAATAATAATAACCCAACTTATAGTGCCTGTTATGAAGCAAGAACTCTAATTACTGTCACTCGATAAAATAAAATAGGAATAACCCTATTCTATCACTACACCACCTACTAATTTCTAAAACGTGATAAGAGAACGCAGTCAGTTATATCATTAAGCAGGTAATTGATGGTTCCCATTTGGAAATCGGTATTATTTGGATGCTATGTGATCACTTTCAGCTGGTAGACTTGTTTGGTTCTCTCCATTTCTTAGCAATGATTTATGCTCTTTGTTTTTTGATCTTGCAACTTTAATTGAAATTAATAAGTGAGGTATCCTACATTCCTTGTTTGAAAAATCTGTTTCAGTATGAATCTATTTCTACGAAAGATTCTTTATTATTTCATTTCACCATGATTTTGCCACCATATATGATGATAAGGGTGATATCTTTTGACTTTTAATCGACATTGACAGTGACATTGGGAATATCTTAAACTTCGCTTCAAAATCCTAGTTTAATAATAATAACCCAACATATAGTGGCTGTTATGAAGCAATGGTTGATTTCTTGAGGTGGCACACCCTCACTTCTTTTACATTCACATTGATGCCTGGAAGATTGATATGCTTTGCTATTTCCCAAGAAGAAACATATTCTTTTCACTCATGGGTTACACTTAGACAACCCGACTTATTTTTTATATATGCACAAACCCATTTGCAAGATCTATTACCTTGCAGTTCTATTTGACCAATAACGAGTTTCCCTTCTGGTGCCTTTATAATTTGCTAATGGCATGATTGGACCTGACTTTCGTTTCTTGTTGTGTGCTAATTTGATATGACCTTCTACTGTGGTCCATTGTTGACTTTCATGACCGGACAGAGGATGGTGAAACTTAGGTCATGTCCACCAAGATTTAGATTATGGTGGTCCCTTGTCAGGAATGCAGATGCATAAAACATTCAGTGATTATTAGTTAAACATAGAATGTGACTCATGCCCTTTGAAGAAGATACACATGCATGTCCAAGATTTATAGAGGAATAATATGAAAGGGCCAGGAACTCTATTTAATTGGAAATTGTTGTTGGTACTGTTACCTGATTGACATTTGTAGATTCATGAACATGAGTGGTAGAAGATAAAAGACTATGAACTATATGAAGTAAACGCAGTTTAAAGGATTCAAGAGTCATGCCTGAAAGTCTGCTTTTGTACTACTTGATTTCGACCAACTACAGGTTCCGCGGGTACGGAATGATTGTGTGTAAATGTAAACCTAGAAGCACGTCCTCTTTCTGCCAATACTATCAGCTGTGGGGCACATCCTAAAGGTTGCAAAAATAAGTGAAGCATATAAAACAACAATCAAGAATTGTAGTCAATTGAATACGAGAAGTTTAAAACTAGGTAGCAGATCTGAATTTATTGCAGACTCTAGGTGAGGATCATTGGGTAGTGAGAAGAAAAAAAAATAAAATTTGGGCATTTGCCAGTGAGATAGTTCAACAATTCAGAGCTACTAAATAGATCACCCAAGAGGAGATGACTTAGCTGGTGAAACATATTTTGAGAAGCAGTTAAGGCACTTGGAGATGTTTGAGAGACATATTATCCTGTTTATGTTGTGAAAAGTGGCAAGACACTAGTATTCCGGAGCTCTCATGTATGGCAAGCTCTCCTTGATGTATCCAACACTTCTGTACTTGGAGCATCAATAGATCCGAGTGTAGCGCATTGACTTTGGATTTGGACTTGTCTGCCTGCGAGTCATATCGCATTTGGTTTCAGGATTTTTTCTTGATATTGGTTTAGGAGTTAGCTCATACAACTGATGGATCACTTGATAGATGTGAGTCAATGAAAAAACTAAATTGTAGAGTGATTGGAAGTCCCTGATAACTGAACACAAATGTTGGCCCATAGTTAAGGGAATGCTCAGCGTGGACAATGTTGGTTTGTACTCGACTGTGCCTGATAACTGTTAGGTCTCCTACAGTTCCAAGGTGTGATCCATCCTGGGAGGCATTGACTACTGAGTGCACAGGATATATTATTCTGGAAACCAGTTTGTAGTCTATTGCAGGTGCTTTCTTTAATCTTGCTAACTCTAGAATCTCATGCTATTGTGTGGAAGTTCTCAGCGACATTAGAATGATGTTTACGATATAATGTAGGTTGCTGGTTCCATTGGTTTGTGGAAAGACAATTGAAATTTGTCATTGATCAGCTGTTGGACCCACAGATTTTAAATCCACAGGATTGTATACCGAGTGGCCAAACCAATGCCTATTGTGGTGTCGATGTGTATTTCTCTCTTTTTATCTGTGATGCTGGAGAAATTCATACGATGTGTCCCAGATTCTCTTATTCTGTTCTGGGTGTCTTATATATGAAGACTACAATTCCTATCCTTTGTTCTCCACCTGAGGAATGTAACTAACACTTCCTATAGTTAAATTATGTCTGTTTCTTTATTATTCTATGAATCTGCTGGCTTGTGCCAACAGTGTCTTGAACTTTTTCCTAATCAGACATCATTACCAGAATTAACTCCCTATTGTTAGCTTACCAGTGTGGCAACTAAATCTAGTTGCTGAACTTCAGTTGGCATAGGAATTTTCTTTTTGTCTGTTCCACAGGACATACTCATCTGACATTACAAAGATGATGTTATTTGCTCTTGTTTCACTGCAGATTTTGCATTTATCTTTCCGAATTTTCCCTTTATCTTGTACTTTGCACCGCATTTACTTGTATGTCCCATGTGATTTGTGGATGTGATACTTCATAACCTTCTTCTTTTATAATTTTTCTTGTTTGCTGAAATGCTAATTAGAAAAGAAAAAGTATTGAAGAGCAAAATGCAGCAAAATATAGCAAAATATACCATATGCCAGCTCAGGAGTGTATTATGGTATTCATAGATGTAGCGAGAAAAGGAAAAGCGTATCTCTTCATGAGACATTGTGGTGATTTGCATGTCCAACTTTTCAGGTGTTGTCAAAGACAAGCGATCAATATGGAGACTGGGCATCATCAGTGAACTTTTCTGGGCAATTATCAGTTTCTTTGGAGCCTTTTTTACGACGTTGTTTTCGGTATATGTTTGAGATTTTCTGATCCCTTTTTGCTGAATTCTCTTATTTCAAAATTATCCTATGTATAACTAACCAGATGGATCTAATGGACCTATTTGTTTCTTTCCTGTTTTAGATGGAGAAATCTGATGCGTACAGGAAACTGTCTGGTTCTCGTAGTTCGTGGGATGGTGGTCCGGGTGGGGGTCCTGGAAGAGGTCCTTATGGTGGTGGTGGGCCTCGTGGTGCTCCACATGGGATGGGTAATGTCCGTGGAATTGATCATAGTAAGTCAAGACTTTGCTCTTAACACTCACTGCAGTTGGTGAAAGAAAGTATCTCTCTCTCTCTCTCTCACTCACTATGGCACTTTGTTTGTCTGTTAGGTCCTCTTCCTGCTTGCGGCTCATGTTGTGGAGGTTAAATGAGAGTGATCTGATTGTGTGTTTACCTCGACCTGAACTCTTTTGGGTTACATGTGTAAGTAGGACTCAGACTTTAGATTTCCAAGAACTTTGTGTGTAATCCTTCTTGGATTTCGATTGGCTTTTCTAGAAAGGACGACTGTCTCGAATGGGATTCCTTCTATTACTATCAAGCATCTGAAAAGAAGCGTCTAATTTGTTTTAGATTGGTTGGTAGACTGAATGGTTAATGTTGTGACATGCAAATGTGAAATGTGGTCCTCTGATTTGGTGGTTTCCTTTTCCGATGCTTTTAGCACCTAGTGTGGCACCTAGTGTGGCAGCAGTGGATGCCCTTCTGGTTGTGCCACGTGTTGTCCGGGCATGGAACACTGATGGTTCAGGTTTGGGACTGGGAAATTATTTAATGCTGATATATATATATATATATATATATATATATATATATATATAGTAGTAGTAGTAGTACGTAGTGTAGTATAGTACTAATTACGTTAAGTAAGTTAAAGTTTAAATTTAAATTTTAAAAATTTAATTAACGTAAACTAAC